AGAAGCTCCTGTCGCCGGCCATGGCCTACTACCGCGCGATGCATCCCGAGGAGGAGGAGACGACGCCCACGAAGCCCCGCGAGGCGAGCCCGCCCCGGGAGCCGCGGCGGCCGCCGTCGCCGGCGCCCCCGTCGCCGGCGGCGCCGCCGGCCCTGCGCGCCGAGGTCGGCGTCGCCGCGGCGGGCCCCGCGGGCGCGCTCGCCGTCGCGCGAGGCGGCGCGCGCTTCGTCGAGGTCCGCGCCGAGTCCGCGGGCGCGCTCGTCGCGTGCCTCGGCGCCGTGCGGGGCCTGGGCGTCATGACGCACGTCCACCTGCGGCCCCGCGGCGGCTGGCGGCTGAGCGCGTGGGGCGCGGCGGCGCTCCGCGTCGACGTCGCGCTGGCGCGGCAGCACGGCGCGTCGACGGTCGTCGTCGGGCCGCTGGACGACTGCGGCTTCCTGGACCTGCCCCTCGTCGCCGAGCTCGCCGAGGCCGCGAGGCCCGCGCGCGTCGCCATCTGCCGCGAGTCCTTCGACGCGTCGCCGGACCCGGCGCACGGCTTGCGCGCGCTGGCGAACGCGGGCGTCGACGCGGTCTACTCGTCGGGCGGCGCGGCCCGCGCGCGCGACGGCGCGGACGCGCTCCGAACCCTCGTCGCCGCGGGCAACGAGGCCCGCGTCGCCGTCATGGTCTGCCGCGTCGCCGCGGACGACGTCCCGCCGCTCGTCGACGCGACGGGCGCGTTCTTCTTCGTCCTCGACGACGACGCCGAAGGGGGCGTGGCGGGTTGAAGGGGTTCTTTATTATAGCGCTCCCCGGAGGCGCGCGTCTTGCTCGGCTTTCGCGAGGACCTTTGCTATTGCTGTGGATGCTGCCGACATGCCGTCCTCCGGTGACTTGTAGACTAGCCAAGACAGTGGCGTGCGGCCCTGGCGGTCAGACTTTAACACGAGCTCTGGTTGCCGTTCCACAACGAGTTTGACAATGGGGAGAAAACTTCCTACGCTCTGGTATTTTCTGTGACGATGAATGAAAAGAAGCCAATGTAAAAAAGAAGCATTTTTCGTACTCGTATTCAAGGGCAGGAGGCCTGCATCATAAAGAAGTGGGAGGACATCGAGATGGTCTGCTTTGCGCATGAGAGTCCACCGAAAACTGTCGTAGGTCTCCAGCTGGCCGCGCGCGCCCTTCTCAAGCAAGAGCCGAACGACGCTGACCGTTTGAAATTTGCAGGCCTTGCTCAACACAGAGGTTTCGTCGAGGTGGTGGATATGATTCGGATTTGCACCGCGAGAGAGTAAAGTGTTGACCACATCATACGGAACTCGACCGTACATCGAAGTTTGGAGAGCGCAATCCAACGGCAATTTGAACAGGATCGAACGAAATGACTCCGAGCCGAGAAGATCTGGACTGAGGGGCTCCGATTGCTTCATTCCTTGAACGCGGAGAAACTCGATGCGCGAAACATCGTCCATGGAACGAGCGAGCGCGTCGCACGAGCGATTCCACGAGGACATGTCCGCGGTTGGTGGAAAAACCACTTTAATTCCACGGAGATGTCGCAGCTGGATCAGAACCCACGCGAGGCGTTCCATGACGACCGCGGAGCGGGCCGTTATGTCGATAGAAACGCACCGTGCCAATTTCGACAACATGTTAGGCATCAAGTTCGCTTCCTTTACGTAGCTCACATGGCGCACAAAACTCAGGGCCTCACGCCCCACACGATCTGTCGTCGTCGTTTTGAGGACATCTGTGAACGCGAGGTGATCGAGAACGAGCCCCCATGCCTCGACTGGGATCGACGCCAGCGTCGTCTTGGCCCTCGGCGTCGTCATGCAGAACTGCGTCGAGCGGTGCCGCACGGGCGTCGAGGTCGTCTCGAAGCCCGGAGAGCCCACACGCACGAAGTGTCCGACGCGCCGCCGGACCGCGACCGAGGACCCGAGTGGCAATCAGGTCGGCGATCCCGGCCGGGGTGAGGACTCGGATGGCCCGGGGCGCAGGTGCCTGGATGGGATGGATGGCGCGGGGCTAGAATGATTTACAGTTGGAACAAGCCCGCTTCAGAAGATCGCCGGCGTCTTCTGGGTCTTCGCCGTGGCGACGAGCTTGTGGGCCGCGCCCGCGCGCGCGGACCGCGGCCGCGCGCGCGCGCGGGCGACCTCGTCCCGGCGCCGCGCGGCCTTGGACTTGCGCGCGGCCTCGGATTCAACCCCGAAGATCTTGTCGCTCGCGCGCTCGTTGTCGAGCTCCAGCTGCGTGAGCGTGCGCGCGCGGTCGAGCCGCGCGGCGCGCTCGCGCTCCGCGAGGACCGAGCCCTTCAGCCTCGAGATCTTCTCGAGGTCGTCGCCGCGCGACTCGCGCGCGTTGAAGCGGGACGCGAGGACGTCGAGCTCGCCCAGCACCTGGCGCTCCTTCTGCTCCTGGCAGCGGCGCGCCGCGGAGAAGGCCCACGCGAGCCGCTTTTCCGCCGCCGCGTGGCGGTCCGCCTGCTGCGCGCGGAGCCGCTCCGCGAGCTCGACGCGCGCCGCGCCGTCGGACGCCTCCTTGCGCAGGTCCTCGGCGAGCTGGGCCGTCTCGCCCCGGAGCCGCGCGGCCTCGAGGGCCTCGCCCGCGAACTGGGCGGACGCGGCCTCGGCGTCCGCGCGCGCGGCCGCGAGCGCGGCCGCCGCCTTGACCTGGTCCGCGGCCGCGCGCTCCTCGAGGGCCGCGAGCGAATTGGAGATGCCCGCCGCGCGCGCGTCGGCGTCGGCGAGCTGCTTCGCGTCGCGCGCGTCGCGCGCGGCCGCGTCGGCGACGGCCGCGTCGAGCGCGCGGCGGCTCTCGGCCTCGGCCGTCCGGAGCTTGGCGACCTGGGCCGCGCGGGCGTCGGCCCGCTCCGCCGCCGTCTTCGCGCCGTCGGCGAGCTCGAGCGCGACCTTGGCGCCGTCGGCCGCGACGGCCGCGAGCCGCGCGTCCTGCGCCGCCGCGGCCCTCGCGAGGCGCTTCCGCTCCGCGGCCTCGCGCGCCTCGAGGGCGACCCGCTGGCTCGCCGCGATGGCCGCGCGCTCGAGGGCCGACTCGCAGGCGGAGCGCTCCCGCGCGCGCTCCGAGACCTCGAGCTTCGCCGACGCGCCCGCGAGCGCTTCCTCCAGGCCCGCGGCCTTGTCGCGCTCCCTCGACACCTCCGCCTCGAGGCGGGCGGCGATGTCGTCGCGCCGCGCCCGCTCCGCGTTGACCTCGTCCTCGGAGACGGCCGCGCGCGTCGCGAGCGTTTCTTTAGCCTCGCGGAGCTCGCGCATGATGTCGTCGATCTCTTTCCGCGCGGCGTCGAGGTCGTCGCCCGTCGCCTTCTGGGCGTGTTCCGCGGCCTTGACCTGGTCCGCGAGGGCCCGCTCCTCCCGGGCGAACGCCAGCTGGCGCTCCCGGGCCTGCTTCCGCGCCTCGGCGAGCGCCTCCTCGAGCCGCGCGGACTCGCTCTTCGACTCGTCGCGCGCGCGCGAGACCTCGTCGAGCCGCAGCTTGAGCGCCTCCGCGTCCTTGGCGGCACTCAGCTCGAGGAGCGCCAGCCGCTCCTCGGCGTCGAGGCGCCGCTTCTCCTCGTTCTTCGCCGACGCGCACGCGGCCTCGAGCTCGCGGCGGACCTGCTTCTCCTTCGCCGCGAGCCGCTCCGCCTCGGCCGCGGCTTCTTTCCGCGCCTCCTCGGCCCGGGACCCCTTGGCCTTGGAGTCCGCCGCGGCCCGCTCGAACTTGAGCTTCTCCGCGCGGGCCTCCTTCGCCGCGGCCTCGGACGCCGCGAGCGCTTCCACGGCCGCGGCGTGCTTCGGGTCCGGCGCGACCGACACGAGCGCGCCGCAGTCGGGCATGTCGCCGACGTCGGCCTCGTTGACGACGGCCTTGCACTCGCAGCGCATGGCCCGCGCGGCGAAGGCGAGGGCCGCCAGCGTCTCGCTCGTCGAGTCCGCGGACGGCGAGCAGCAACATAGTAGCGTCGTCTTGCAGTTGCCGCCGACGGAGCCCTCGAGCACGCGCGTGAGCTTGCTGTCGCGGTAGGGCACGTGCTTCTTCTTCGCCGCGAGGGCCGCGACGACGTTGCCCAGCGCGAGCAGGCTCCCGTTGATGTTGATGGCCTCCTTGAGCTCCTTGCCCGCGACGCCGCTCCGTTTCACGCGCTCGGACCCCGCGAGGTCCACGACGGAGCAGAGGCTCACGGTCCCCCTGGCCCCGGCCTGCTTCGGCCGCCGGGACACGCGGAGCTGGAAGCAGGCGTGGCTCCTAGAGCTCGCCTTGTTCATCTTCGTCTCCGCGTAGACGACGTTCTTCCGCGCGGACGCGAACTGCGCGAGCAAATCGTTCGCGGAGCCGCACGCGACCCACGTGAGCTGGTCCACCTGGCCGTGGCCGCTCCGGTCCTTGGAGACGCTCAGGTTCGCGCCCTTGCCGCTCCGGTGCTCCGGGTGGAGCAGGTCGCTGACCTGCTCGTTGTAGACCTGGAAGCAGCCCGCCTCGACCGTGTAGTCGTGCGACACGTCGCGGGCGGCCTTGACGTAGAGCGTCGCCGCGAGGCGCGGCAGGAGGCCCGAGTCCTGGAAGCTGTGGGCCGCGGACCCGCCGTGGAGCAGGCTGTAGGTCTTGCCGCTGCCCGTCTGGCCGTAGGCGAAGACGCACCCGTGGTACCCGGCCAGCACCGCGTCGACGACGGGCAACCCGACCTCCTTGAAGACCTCGGCCTGCTCGCTCTCGCCGCCGAAGACGCCGTCGAACTCGAAGGTCTTGCGCTGGGCCGACGCCTTGAGGGCGTCACCGAGGGACGCGCCGCTGGACCCGCGCAGGGACTCGTTGATGGCGCCCTCGATGTCGTCCACCGTGATGTTCGTGTCGCCGTCGAGCCGGACGGCTTCGCTGTCGCTCTCGGCGCGCGCGCTGCCCAGGGGCCGCACGCGCGCGAAGACGTTGACGCGGTCGCCGCCCATCGTCGCTTCTGGCGCAGCCCCGCTCAACCGCTGGAAGCCTCCCCGTCAACCGCTGAAAGGCAATATCCTGGCCTTGCAGTGGACGCTGCCGCCGATTGAAGCCCGGCGTCATCCCTCCGGCAGCACGCACCGACCCATCGCAGCGAGTCGTGCCCGGCTTGCAACAGTCACGTAGACGCATCGCAGCGTTCGTGCCCGGCTGCAACAGTCACGCACCGCCCATCGCAGCGAGTCGTACCCGGCTGCAACAGTCGAACGAACGTAGACAGCGAGCATAAACAGCACGCAAGCATGCTCCGCGCGCTCGCAACCCTCGTCGTCTTCGCGTCGGCGTCCGCCGATGCGCTTGCGACGCACACGCTGCGCGCGCCGTCGCGGCGCTGCGTGGCGCCGCGGCCGCCGGCCATGGCCCTGGCCTTCCGCGGGCCGCGGTGGACCCCCCTCGCGCGCGCCGTGCCGCGGCTGCGCGGCGGCACGGCCGTGGCCGCGTCTCCGAGCCCGCCGTCGGCGGCCGCCGCGGGCCCGTCGCGGAACGTCGCCGTCGCGCTGCTCCTGGCCGTGGCGGCCATGTACGGCACGCTGACCGTGTCGCTCAAGTGGATGCTGGAGCTCCCGGGCCCGCCGACGCCCGCGGCCATGTCCTTCGTGCGCCAGGTCGCGTCCGTCGCGTGCTTCGCGCCGCTCGTCGCGCGCGCGCGGCGCAATGCGCGCGCGAAGGGCGGCGACGCGTCGCGGATCCCGCGGAGCCTCTGGAGCGTCGCGACGGAGCTGGCGTTCTGGAACTTCACGTCCCAGGGCCTGAGCAACGCGGGCCTCGCGCTCACGACGGCGACGCGCGAGACGTTCTTCAAGCAGCTCAGCGTCGTCATCACGCCGCTCATCGCCGTGGCCTGCGGCCAGACCGTCGGCAACGCGGTCAAGGGCGCCTGCGGCCTCGCATTGGGCGGCATCCTCCTCCTCGGCGGCGACGGCGCCGCGGCGGCCGACGCGTCGGGCAATTTGGTCGCGCGCGCGCTCGGCGGGCTCGCGGCGATGGTCAGCGGTTTCAACACGGGCGATCTGCTGGTCCTGGGCGGCGCGGCGTGCTGGTCCGCCTACATCTTCCGCCTCGGCGCCATCGCGTCCGAGAACCTGCCCGAGGTCGAGTTGCAGGCGGCGAAGACGGGGATCATGGTCGGCATGTACGGGCTCTGGGCCCTCGTCGACTGGAAGCTCGTCCAGCGGTGCTCGCTGGGGGCCATGTGGCCGGGCCTCTGGACGCCCGTGGCGCTGGCCCTCCTCCTCTTCTCCGCCGCGATTCCGGGCGCGCTCGCGGACATCTGGATGCAGTCCGGCGCGTCGCGCGTCTCCGCGGCGACGACGAACGTGCTCCTGTCGGCGGAGCCCATCTTCGGCGCGGTCTTCGCCAAGTTCCTCTTCGGCGACGTCCTCGGGCCCAAGGGCAAGATCGGCGCGCTGCTCATCGTCGCCGGCTGCGTCCTCGCGGGCGCGGCGGACGAGGACTAGGACGACGCGCGCCGCCGTTCAAAGTTAGGTAAACCGAATCGCCTCGCGCGCTCAGGACGCGTTGAGCTCGGCCTGGAGCTTCCGCGCGAGCTCCTCGTCGGAGAGCCGGGGCGTCGCGGGCGCGTCATAGGCCGGCGGCGGCGGCTCGTCGAGCTCGTCCTGGAGCTTCCGCGCGAGCGCCTCGTCGGAGAGCTGGGGCGGCTTGAGGGTCGCGGGCGCGTCGTAGGCCGGCGGCGGCGGCTCCGGCGCCATGGTCTTGACGCTCGGCGGTATCTTGAGATCCCCGGCCGCGGGCACCGTCTCGTAGTAGATCTTGTTGTTGTCGCTCTGCGCGGCCTTCAACGCGCGGCTCACGGCGGCCTTGAACGTCTTGAAGGGCGTTTCCCGCACGGAGCCCGCGCCCGACATGGTCAGGACGCGGGGCTCGAGCGCGGCCCGCGCGGCGTCGTACCAGCCGACGGCGACGCCGTAGGCGCCGTCCGTTTGCGCCTGCCGCGCGCAGTACCAGGCCCGCAGAGCGGCGAACAGCTTCGCGTCCGCGGAGACGGCGTTCGCGCGGCCCTGGTCCGCGCGCGCCGCGTGGGCCGGCGCGCCGTCGCGCGCCGCGTCGCGGGCCGCGGTCAATTTGTCGACGACGCCGCCGCACAGTTTCGCGGCCAACGAGTCGGGCAGGCCCGTCGTCGCCAGCGCGGAGCCGACGGCCATGCGCTGCGCCGACGCGGTGCAGACCAGCGCCTCGCCGGCGCACACGGCGCGCGTCGCCTCCGGCGGCCGCGCGTCGCCGCTCGCCAGCGCGCAGCCCGCCGGCAGGGCGTCGAGCGCGGCGACGGCGCCGCCGGCCGCGGCCTCCCAGAGCCCCGCGGCGGCGCGCAGCACGGCCGCGGCCTTCTTCAGCCGGGGCCCGAGCTCGCCGCCGCCGCCGGACGTCGCGAGCTCCCGCGCGAGCCGCTCGCGGCAGACGGCCTCGCGCGCGGACACGGCGACGGCGTCGAGCGCGACGGCCTCGCGCGCCCGCGCGGAGAAGGCCGCGGCGCCGCCGCCGGCCTCGTAGGACCGGTACCGGCCCTTCTTGTCCGCGGCCTCGAGCGGGCTCGTCCACGCGCAGGTCACGCCGGCGCCGCAGCCGTCGAGCGCGGGCCCCGCGGCCTTGAGCGACGCGAGGAGCCGGTGGAGGTGCGGCCGCAGCGCCGCGCACGCGAGCGCCGCGTCCTCGTCGCCGACGCCGAACGCGCGGACGACGGACGCGCGCTCGGTTTTCAGGTGCGAGAGCAGCTCCCGCGCGTCGCCGTCGCCGGCGAGCGCGCCGAAGGCCGCGCCGTAGTCCAGGGGCGCCGCGCGGCCCGTCGTGCCGAAGCCGCTCTGGCCGGGGCAGGGGATCTCGCAGACCAGCGCGACGATGGCGTCCTGGATCTGCTGCGCCGCCGCGAGCTCGTCGTGCATGGATGCCATCGCGTGCTCAGCTCGCGCGCGGCGGAGTGCTGAGATGCTCTCGCCCGAGGCCGTCGACGTCCTCGACCGCTTCGGCCCCGCGCATCGGCCGACCACACACGCTTCGTACACGCGGAAGGAAATCCTGCGCCGGGGCTCCGGCTCGGCCAGCGCCGCCCACGGCGCCGCCGCACCACACACCCGACGCGACAGTTAACACCGGTAGGTGACGCTCGTGGTGTCGCCGTACTGGTTCGTCACCTCGAGGGTCCCGTCCTTGGACGCGCTCGACAGCGTCGCGTTGACCTTCTTCTCGCGCCAGTGCGCGCCGAAGGCGAAGTCGCCCGACGCGACCGCGTCGCCCTTGGCGCTCGTGGCGGCGTAGGTGCCGTCGTAGGCCGACGCCTGCTTGAAGTTGTTCGCGACCTTGAAGCTCAGGTCCCGGCCGTCGCACGCCACGTCCCAGACGAGGGGCCTGTCGTAGAAGCGCTCCGCGGAGTACATGAGCCAGCCCGTCTCGCGGTCGCACGACTCGCCCGCGGCGCACGTCTCCTTGCCGAAGACGTCCAGCTGGAAGGCCGTCTCCATGGTGCTCCGCGTGATCTCGGCCACGCGCGCCTCGTAGGCGTCGGAGCCGTTGATCGTCTCGCTGGGCCACCAGCACGCGAACATGTTGCCCGTGGGCAACCGGTCGTTGTCGCCGAACATCTGCGAGTAGGCGCCGACGTCGTACTCCCAGACCACGGACGCGTTCGCCGCGCCGTCGGCCGCCTCGACGACGAGCAGCCGCGAGTTGCGTTGCGCCCGGTCGTAGTTGTTGTCGAACATGGCGTACTCGTCGTCGCCGACGTACTCCGCGTTGTGCTGGCCGACCCAGTAGGACGACCCCGGCGCGTAGTAGTCGCCCGTGTATCCAACAATACCGAAATCGCCGTCGTCGCCGCCCAAAGCCCAGATCTTCGTCATGTTCGACGCCCAGACCTTGTAGATCGCGTTCGTGCTCCGCGACGAGATCACGATCTTCGCGTCGTCCTCGATGGGCTGGACGTGGTTGATGTCGTCGACGTCCTTGGACGGCACGCCGGCGATGGCCGACGTGGTAGAATCGGCGCAGGCCTTGTTCGTGTCGACGCAGGTCTTCTGGATCTCCTCGGACTTGATCGCGGACCAGAACGCGGACCCGTCCTTGGCCTTCTGCAGGTCGTGGATGTTGATGCTCGCCGTCGAGAGCTGCGCGTAGTCGCCGGTCTTCCAGTCGAACTTGTAGGCCCAGCCCATGAAGGAGCCCCGCGACGCGCCCATGACCATCTCGGCCGCGGACCACATCTTGAACCCGGCCGCGCGGTAGACGGACTTGCCCTCGTAGAAGGGCACCATGGTCCTGATGGCCCCGGCGTAGTCGAGCACGACGAGCCAGGAGCTGAACTCCTCGTCGCTCTCGTCCATCCAGACGATGTTGAAGGCCACGTAGCCCTCGGCGGCCTGCGCGCCGACCTACCAAGCATGACGGTGACGATTTCTCATTGGTTTCCCGCCCCGAATCACTCGAAAATCGTCGCGGCCGCGGGACGCCGGCGCCGACGGAGCCCTCGACGAGCGCCCGGTCGACGGTCAGCTCCACGCGCCGCGGCACGTACTTGAGCAGCGTCGCCGCGGCGACGTCGTAGCAGTCCTCGCCCTCCTGCTGGCGCACGTACTTGCAGACCTCGTCGACGGCGAGGAAGTCCGCGTAGGTCAGGGCCACCGTCGTCTTGGCTGCAGCTGTCGCTAGCGCGAGCGGCGGGGCTGCGGTTTTGGGGTAGAGCGCGCCGGCGACGAGGAGGCCCGCGGCGACGGCCACCAGCGCGACGCGGCCGGCGCGGCGCGGAGGCGCGTCGATGGGCGCGTAGGAAGCTGCCCCCATCGTGCTCCAATATGCGGCAACGACAACGTCACGGCAACACTAACTAACCTCATCGCGAAATCGAAGCATCACCTCGCGAAAGGAGCGGTGCCGCGTTTCGACGAGCCCACGTATCGATTAGAAAAAATCGCACGTATGATCGAGGCTTAAAAACCGAGTCCCCGACCCACCGAGCCGCTCTCCTTTGCACGCGCGCAGCGCCGCAACACCGCCGCAATGCCGGGCCCTCCCGACCTGCGCGTCGAGCTGCCGCCCAAGGCGGTCGGCGCGCCGCCGGCGCCGTCGGCGCCGTCGCCGCCCCCCAGCGCGCCGCCGTCGCCGAAGACGCCGCGGCTCGCCGCGGCCCTGGCGCCCTACGTCGGCGCGTGGAAGGTCGTCTGGCTCATCTCGCCCGCGTCGATGCGCGAGTTCCTCGAGGAGCGCGGCGTCGCGTCGCGGTCGCGCGCGCTCATGGCGGCGCTCACGCAGAGCAGCGAGCTCGAGTTCGGCGTCGACGGCCAGGACAACTGGACGGAGCGCGACCTCATGTCCCTCAACCTCTTCCACACGAACCGCGTCGTCATCCCCATCAACGTCGGCTCGTCCGAGGGCGTGACGCCCTACGGAATGCGGTGCCGCGGGTCCGTGTCGTTCCGCGACGGCCGCCTCCAGATGGTCGAGGTGCCCGCGGACCCGACCTCCGCCGAGACGCCCGTGACCCACGACTTCAACCTCCACGGCGACCTGCTCCACCGCCGCGTGTCGTCCGGGTCGGGCGCGTCGTTCACGATGGTCCTCGCGCGCATCGACGCGGAGACGCACCACCGGAGCCGCGTGCTCCAGCGCGAGGTCGAGAAGGCGCCGCGCACGCGGGGGCCCCTGGCTTTGATGCCCGCGGCGTGCTTCTTCCCCGTGTGGCTCTACTGCATGGCGACGCGGAAGATCTGGCGCGCCGTCTTCAGCCAGTTCTGGCCCATGTCCGCGGCCATGGTCCTCGGCAGCTTCATCGCCGGCTCGACGCCCCTGGGCGGCGGCGTCGTCGGCTTCCCCGTGGCCGTGCTCGTGCTCCGCATGGAGCCCGCGCAGGGCCGCGACTTCTCCGCGATGATCCAGGCCGTCGGCATGACGTCCGCGTCGTACCTCATCCTCTACCTCAAGCCCGAGCTCGTCCACGTCAAGCTGGTCTCTTGGTCCATCGCCTTTGGGGTGTTGGGGTGCATCGTCGGCTTCGTCGTCGAGGTCGACCCCTTCGCGGTGAATCTGACGCTGACGACGTATTTGTTGGCGTTCGCCGTCGTGTACTTTTACAAGAACGAGATCATCGAGCACTACCTGCCGCCCCTGGGGTGCGCCAAGGGCCCGGCGCCCGGCGGCGCCAAGGGCCCGGCGCCCGGCGGCGCCAAGGGCGACGCGCTCGCGGAGCTCGTGCGCGCGGAGGAGGCCAAGGACGAATTAGCCGCGCCCGCGGCGGATTTGGAAGAAGACCGGCGGCGGACGCGCGAGTCCATCCGCGACGGCCTGCTCGTCGTCTCCGCGCTCGTCGGCGGCTTCGTGACGGCCAAGCTCGGCTCCGGCAGCGACTCGATGGCCTACATCTTCGCGTCCTTCTGCTGGAACATGCTCACGCCCGAGGACGTGATCTCCGAGTCGGCGATGACGGCGTCGACGGTCATCGTCATGGCGACCATGTCCTTCGTCGTCATGGGCATCCGCATGGCCACGGGCCACGTGAGCCAGGACGTCGTCTACTGCTGGTGCGCGGCGGCGCCCGTGGTCTGCTTCGGCGCGCCCCTCGGGTCGCTCGTGCTCGGGCCCCGCGCGGAGCTCATGCTGCGCCGCTTCTTCTACTTCATCTCCGTGATCCAGTTCCTCTTCTTCGCGCTCATCGTCATCCAGACGCACGCGGTCGGCTGGTCCGTCGTCGCCGTCTGCATCGGCGCGACGGTCGCCGCGGTCGTCGCCCACTACCGGCTCCGGCTCCTGCCCGCGGCGACCGCGCGCACGCGCCAGGGGAGCGCGGACCACGACGCGAGCGACGCCGGCGACGCGGCCGCCGAACGCGCGGGCTACGCGGACGTCCCCGCGTACGTCGCCGGCGCGCCCGCGGCGGGCGACGACGTCGAGGGCGGCGGCGGCGTCTAGCGCGCCGCAGATCCTTCCTTTGGTAATGGCCTCCCTGGTTGACTGGTGGGGGGCGTGCTGAAGCGCCGCTTTTCCGTGAGTTGGTGGCTTGGAACTTGGCTTTGGACAGCTCGTTGCCGTCAAGCGGCGAGCGTCAAAAACGTTGCAGCAGACGCGACGATGGTCGGCGCCATCGCAGCGCTCGCGCTGCTCGTCGCATCTGCCGACAGCTTCGTCACAACCCATCCATCGTTGCTCGCGAAAAGCGCGGCGACGCGCGCGCACGACGCCGCCGAGGCGACGAGCGAACCCGCGACGACGACGACGACGACGACGACGCAGACGATCATGGACGGCGCGGACCACCTCGGCGACGTCGGCGGGTCCCACCTCGCCGTGGACCTGTCGCTGAGCAGCGCCTTCACGCCCCTCCAGCGCATCGTGTTGACGGCGAACGGCAACCTCCAGCGCATCCTGTCGGCGTACCACAACCGGGCCGTCACGGTGACGGTGCTGCGCAACGAGCGCGTGAAGATCGGCCTCTGGCGGCGGCGCGTGCTCATCGCCGTCGACGGCACGCCGGCCTGCGTCGCCGCGTCCGTCGTCACCGCCGTGACGCGCGAGGCCATCGAGCTCGCGGACGGCGGCGGCGTCGGCATCGGCCAGATCTTCGCGGAGCTCGGCGGCAAGCAGTCCTTCTCGCTCCTCGAGGTGTCGAAGAACGCGACGACGTTTTCGCGGACCTACACGCTCGCGAACGCGCACATCATGTGCCACGTGGAGGAGGTCCTCCCGCTGAACCTCTTCGACGACGACTTCTTCGCCCGCGCGCCGGACTGGCACCCGGACGCGGCGCTCCAGTAACTATTGCGCTACTTCGTAGTTCCCCAGCACCGCTTCCGGTCGCGGTCGCCGCCGGCGAGGGCCGCCGCGCGGTCCGCCTCGATCGTCGACCGCCAGTGCGCGGCGCTGAGGAGGTGGGAGTGGTTCTTGAGCCGCGCGTAGAGCTCGCCGTGCTTCGCGTCGAGGAGAGCCGCGGTGACGTCCGTCCACGACCTGACGACGAGCGCCCCGACCCGGGCGTAGAGGTGGTCGAGGGGCCCCGTCTCGACGATGGGCACGCAGCCCAGGTACAGCGCCTCCCAGAACCGGTGCGTGTCGAGGCCGTTGCCCCGCGGCGCGGCGACGTAGCGGTGCGCCGCGACCTGCTGGTAGTACTTGACGAGGTGGGGGTTGTTCTTGACGTTGTTCTTCGTCGTCTTCACGGCGCACGTCGCCCAGTCCTTGCCCTTCTTCTTCTTCTTCGCGTCGCCGCACAGATGCTCCCAGGCGACCTTGCGCTTCGCGTGCGTGTTCCCAAAGTTGACCCAGACGCGCTTCGCGTGGTCGCCGGCCTCGTCGCCGACGCGGCCGCCCGCGCGGTGCTTCGCCGCGCCGATGGCCTTGAGCGCGCGGTGCATCTCCGGCGCCTGCTCGAAGCAGTTGAGGCCGATGGGCAGCGCGCGCACCTTGCCGTCGTTTTTGAGGTCGTTGTTCTGCGCGTACCAGCGGTGGAGCAGCCCGTTCTTCAGGACCTTCTTGTACTTGGACGCGGCGAAGTCGCTCTGGCCCGAGATGAGGATGAAGGGCCGCCGGAGCTCCTTCGTCGCCCAGGCCGCGGCGCGCTCGACCTTGTTCGCGTGCGCGTAGACGAGGGGCACGTCGCCGAGGCACCGCGCGGCCGCGGATCCCGACGCGACCCACGCGTCCTCGCCGAAGTGGCTCCAGGGCCACGCGAAGACCCAGTCGGAGGCATCCCGAAAGTTCGACGGGCACAAGTAGTCGTCGTGGGGCGGCGGGAAGGCGACGGGCGGGAAGCCCCCGGACGCGTCGACGCCGTCGCCGCCGCAGGCTTTCGCGCAGTCGCGCGGCTCCCGGCCGTCCGGCGGCGCGTCGCCGTCGCCGAAGAAGCGCGACGCGAGCGACGCCCGCTTCCTCGGCGGCTTCTTCGTCTTCGCGGGCCTCGCGCCGCCCCGCGGCGGCGGCGGCGGCGCCTCCTCGGCCGCGGCGTCCTCCGCGGGCTCGACGCGCTCCGCCTGCGCCGCCGACAGCGTGAAGACCTCGAGCACCGTCGACGGCTCGCGGCCCGCGGGCCGCTTGTTGTCGGGCTTGCTGCCGTGGCCCCGCAGGTGGCGGCCGTCGACGCAGTTCACGTAGGCGCCCGCGCCCGTCGAGAAGACGCGCGCCGTCGCGCGCTTCTCGCGCGCGTCGCCCAGGGACGTGGAGTCCAACTCGATGCGGAACGTGAGGTCCGCGGCGGAGTAGGTCGCGTCGAGGGCGCTCGGCGGCGGCACGACGAACAACATCCAGGGCGGCTTCGCGCTCCGGCCGTTCATCGTCAGGAACGCGCCGCCGTCGAGCGACTCGAACGTGGACAACCCGCTCGACGACTGCGTGAGGCGCCACACAGCCTCGCGCGGCGGCAGCAGGCCGTCCTGGGCCTGGATGGACACGGTCGTGCCCAGGGCCGGGTGCGGCGACGTGCGCAGGTAGCCGCGGGACGCCGCGCAGCGAAAGGCGACGTAGTGGCTCGTGTGGTTCGTCGCGGTCTCTCCCGCGTCGGCCAAAACGCCGTCGGCGACCTCCGTGCTCGCGTCGAGCGTGCTCGCCGACGCCGGCAGCAGCGGCGCGTGGGTCTCCGACGGGTCCGCGAGGCTCGCCGGCGGCGCCCGCGGCGCGTTCGGCCGCGTGGGCTTCGCCGGCGCGCGGGGCGGCGCCGCGGGCGCGGCGTCGGCGCCGCCCTCGTCGCAGAGCGCCCAGGGCTGCGTCGCGCACCGCACCTGCGCCCCGCCGACGCACCGGGGCGGCGCCACGGCCCACGCGAGCAGCGCGACGACGCGCAGCGAGGCTGCCCACATCGAGATGCCCCAAACCGGTCGGCTGTCAAGGTCAGGGCACGATCTGTGCATCATCGGGTGCCGGCACGATGGCAGCCCAAAAAGTGAAAACCGAGTTCGATCAGGCAGATTATGACGCCCTCTTAAAGTACTACTACGAGCCCATCGTGCAGCACAACGTCGAGCTGCCCGGCGGTAGGACGCTCCGGCGGCAAACATCGCCGCCGCGGATCGAGCAGGACACGCTGGGTTTCAATGCGCTGCGGAAGACGATTAACGGTCTCAAGAAATCGAGCGCGCCAGACTCTCACAATAAGATCTACCAGCTGCTTCGCGAGCTGAATGCCTGGCAGACGCGACCGCCGTCGCTCGGGGGCTCGCTGCCGTCGTGGCAACGCGGCTCGGCGGAGGAGAGCGCCGTGACGGAGACGATCGACCTCACGGCGGAAGAAACCGTTATAGATATCGACACCTACATCATGGATGTGTTGCTCGTGGGCGTGCTGCAGCCCAAGCCCGACCCCGACGGCGGCGCCCCGCGCATGGTCGCGGTCTCCAAACCGGCGCTGTTCGTGAAGCGCGAAGCTGACGATGAGCTGGCCGCTCGCCCAATGCCGCCCAGAAAGCGCAAGGCGTCGGCCGCGTGGGAGGAGGAGTGCGCCGCGCTGATCGCCAGCGGCGATGAGGATGCGGTACCCTGCCCGCGCGCGCGTATTCCATCGTCTATACGCCGGTCATGTTCTGGGAGAGCCAGTCCGGGCGGGCGTTCTACAGGTGCGGCGCGGCGTAGACGGGTACTTACCCAATAAACATACCCCAAGGCGGGATCTGTCAAACTTCCCCGTACTTCTTTCCTCAGTCGGCCTTGCGCTTCCCGAGGAACGCGTCCATCGCGCCGTGCGTGCGGCCCGCCGCCTTCGCGGCGGCCTTGAGCTCGCACTCGAGCGCCGGCTTCTCCACGTCGAGCCGGTCCATCTTGGCCTTGAGCTCCGCGAGCTGGTTCTCGAGATCGCGGGTCTTGATCGCGAGCGCGTGGCTCTCGGAGCGATTCTGCGACAGCGCCGCCCGCGCATTCTTGTGGCGCTCATCCGGGCTCGGCGCGACGACGACCGGCGGGCCGCCGGCGGGCGGCGGCGTCGCCACGACGGTCGCCGCGACGGTCGCCGCGACGTCGACGGCGGGCGCCGCGGGCGACTCGACGGCGGGCCCGGACGCCGCGGCCTGGGCCGGCGGCGCCGAGGGCTCGTCGACGCGGAGGCGCTTCGGCTTCTGGGCCGCCGGGGGCGGCGGGAAGGTGCCCTCCCGGAGCATCCGCGCGAGGTCGCGGTACGCCGCCGGGGTGCGCTTCGGCGCGGGCGCGGGCATGTCCCCGAGCACGGGGACGACGACGTCGCTGACGCCGCACAGCACGTCGAACATGTAGGCCGTCGCCTTGCCCCAGGCGGAGATGATGCTGCCGTTGACGCCGAGCCAGACGATGAGGAACGTGTCCATCGCGTAGTCGACGTTCCCCTCGTCCGGCCGGTCCGGCGACGCCTGCATGAGGTTCGACGCCCCTGGAACGCCCGCCTGTGGAAGGGGAAAGAGTCGCGATTTCGTCGAGTTTGGGGGGAGGGTCGTGACGCAGGGCCCGCGCCTCGTTCATGAGCGGCGCCTTCGTGACCGGGCACATGCAGAGTTGCTCCACCGTCTTCGCCACGACCTCGTCGAAGGTCACACGGCGGACGCCCTTGACGCCGTTGTCGTCCGTGCGGTCCGCGGCGCTCGCCGTCATGCGTTGGAAGATTTTTTGGAGACGCGATAGTAGATAATTGTTCGGGTTCGCGAGGTATTCGACCCTGAAATAACTTTGTCCCGCGGTCGTCCGGGGGCCGGGGATGTTCGTCAAGGGCGCGTCCCGGTACTTCTTGCTCATGGCGTACTTGCTAGCGACGACACGATCGGGATGCCTGCGCGTGCGTCCGATCTTGCGAAAGCGGGAGTTCCGTCGAGGACGCGGGCTGCGACGGAACGCCCTCGAACCTGGCGAGCACCCTCGCAGCTTCATTTGCGGAGGGTTGGGTGATGAATTGGGTATCAGGCGGGGTGAGGGTCCGGACCTCTTGTGTGCTGTTATGCAGTTCTGCTCGGGAGCATGCGAGCAGGATGTCTGCCTGGCGTCGCTGCTCCGCGATGTCGATGTTTGAACGGGTTGAACAGAGTCTAACGAAGCGGGCCCTTGTCCATTGGACTTGGCTGTGCTGAAATATTGTGAAAATTATTGTACAATCTTTGAGAGTGTAGGACCCCGGCTGGTCCGAGAATTGATCACATCTCTCCACACTAAATTCTGCGGCGTGCGCGAAGGCGAGGAGGCTGATCGCGTCGCGGTAGCCCTGACGGCGGATCATCTCCATGAACCACGGCGCGCCGTGGGACCGGAACCGCGCGACGGACAGCGTCCATTTCCCGTCTTTTAGTTCGCCGAACTCGACCGTGATGGAGCGCGGGAGGTTCTTCTTCTCGCGTTTGTCGTTTAAGTCATTTGCGTGATAGCAGTAGTCACGAAGTAAGTGGTAAACAGTTTGAAATAGGCCCTCGTCAAGACAATCCCCTGGAAATTCGTTCGAGGCCCACGCTTCGAGCTCCTTCCGAAACGCTGGCGCCCAGGACTTTTGATGCCTCTCCCTGAACTCCGCGGCGGACAGCCCGTTGCCCATGCCTATCCGGCGCGGGCCCGGCTCGCCGACGCGCCCGTGCGGCCCTCGGCAGCGCACGAAAGGCCAAACATCGCAGCAGCGGCGAGAGCTCGATAGCTGCTCGAGCCGGAGCAAAAAGGCACCGTTGCCTCGATGAAGGAGATCCTCGCGGCGTCGAAGCGCGCGATGTCCACGGAGGGCATGGGCAGCCTCGAGACGCTGCTCGAGAAGATCGAGGAGAAGCGGCGCAGCTCGCTGACGCCCGTGGAGGCGAAGGACGAGGACGCCGCCGCCTGCGCAAGTCGAGCGACCGCACGCGGTCGAGCAGCCACATCGACCTCGGCAGCTCGCCGCCGGCGCGGCAGCCCGCGCGGCCGCGGCCGCTCCCGCTGGGCATGGACGACCCGGGTGCGCTGGCGGCCATGGGCCTGAAGCTGCGCGCGAAGAAGGTCGTCGAGAAGCTGAAGCGGAGCGCGGCGACCTACGGCGACGACTTCGGCGCGTACCCGCGGCCGCCGTGGGCGGACCGCGACGACCCCGTGCTGTCGCTCGACGGCACCGACGGCAACGGCCACGGCGCGCACGAGGCCTACCGCAACGACCACGTCGAGTTCGTGGACCCCATGTCGCCGGGCGCGTCGCGGCGACAGATCCGGGGCACGCCCGAGTCGGAGCAGCGCGCCGCGTTCCAGAAGGCCGCCGCCGCGGCGTCGCGGCCCCTCGAGGCCGCGATCGACGACGACGACGTCGACGCGAAGATGTTCCACCTCGACCGGTTGCTGGGCGCGGTCCTCTCCGTGGCCAAGGTCGAGATGGGCGTCGACCGCTGCTGCTTCTACAAATACTCCGGCAGCGACCTCATCTACGCGTGGGACGCGGCGTCGCGGCGCGACGTCGTCGGCGACGCGGCCATCGACGACGGGGACCGCGCGTCGGCCTGGTCCGAGTCCATCGTGCGCGAGGCGGCTTCCGACTGGGAGACGATCCGCGTCGACGACATCTACGACTCCGACGAGTGCCCGCCGCCCTTGGCGGACGATTTGGCGACGGGCTACCGCACGAAGACGATCCTCGCCGTCCCCGTCGCCGTGGACCGCGTGGCGTCGACGGGGTTGGCCTGCGACGACGAGCCCTGGACGAAGCTGGGGGTGCTGCTCTTCACGAACAAGTTCTTCAACCACAGCAAGGAGGACGGCGAGGGCGAGGTGCTCCACGTCGCGGGCCGCGCGAGCGACCAGGGCGAGCGGCGCACGACGCGCATCGTCGAGGTCGGCGCCTTCAACGACTTCGACTGCGCGCGGGCCCGGGGCCTGGTGGACGCAATCGCGAAGTAGACGGTACGCGCCATCGCGGCGAAGCTTAAAACGCTTCAGCGCAGCGCCGAAGCTCGTCTCATCGATCTGATCGCAGCGTCGAAGCCCCCCACCCCTTTCTGCCGCGTGCTCTTGATCAAATCGAATCAGGAGCAGGACGAAGAGTACGAGGGCTACGACATGCGCGTAAGCGCTGAATTCACCGCCGGCCCTCAAGCGGCTAGGTTTTCAATCTCGTTTTACTGCAAGGATGTCGGACGCGTTGCTTTTCGACTTCAAGGCCATTTAACAATCGCGGTCGAGAGCGATCTCTTCACGTATAAACAAGACGAACACGGAGATGAAAGTATTTCTGACTTCGATGATGATGCCATCGAGTCGTTTCTTCGGGACGCCGGGCTCTCCGAAGCTTTGCCTCAGCGGTGCCCTGGCACGTCGTGGAACGACGCCGACAACTTGTCCGACGAGGAACGGAGGCGCTGGGTGTACGGCGACGTCATCTACGATGCCGTCGGGCTCGTCCAGGAAAAACACGGGTTTCGAGAAATCTACCCCCCCTGTCACGGGTTCAGAGGCTGCGGAATGAGCTTACTCGGGATGGACAAGCAGGACATCTACTGGTGGCTGGGCCTCGAGTACTGAGGGCCGCGTAGAAATGCCACGAGACAGCAAAGCAGGCTAGGGGTAGGTCGAATACGGAACGAAAGAAGGGTTAAATAAGGAAGGGAGGCCCTTCCAAGCGGCGCTCCCTAGCCGACGACGGCCGTCTCGAAGTCGTGGCCGTGGTCGTCGAAGTCGGAGTGGTGGATGTCGTCGTCGGGCGACTTGACCATGGGGGGGCTCATGGCCGCCGCGAGGGGCGTCGCCGGCGTCGCCGGCGGCGGCGCGTCGTCGACGGACTCGAGCGTCGGCGGGTCGCCGAGGACCATGCGCGGCGGCGCGGCGGCGCCGTCGTCGACCTCGATCATGAGCGGGCCGTCGTCGAAGCCCGCGAGGTCCTGGTGCGAGTCGGAGGACGCCAGCGGCTGGAAGGAGCTCTTGGAGGTGACGCGCCGTATGGAGGCCTGCTTCTTGATGGACGCGCGCGAGTCCGTCTTCGACATCTCCATCTCGGAGAGCAGCGCCAAATTGTCCGCGGAGAGGTTCTTCTCGTCGAGGTTGCCGAGCTCCGCGTCGACGTGCAGCGACGCGACGGCCCGCGCCTTCTCCTTGCGCGCGGCGGAGACGGCCTTCGTGTCCGCGTCGAGCTCGTGGAGGATCTCCTCCGCGTCCGCCTCCGTGAGGATGCCCTGCTTGATCAGCTTGAACACGAGCTCGTGCTGCATGTCCATGATGTTGTGGGAGATGATCTTCGTCTTCACGAGCTGGATGAGCGACGGCGCGATCTGCGCCATGCGCGCCTCGGCCATCTCGCACTGGCGCGCGGACTCGAGCATGATCGTCACCTCCTCGGGCGTGTCCGGCGACGGGTCGTCGCCGAAGAACTCCGCGAGCTTGTTCTGCGCGTGCTGGTGCGCGTTGATGAACGCGCGCGTGACGTAGTAGACGATCTCGTGCTTCTTGTAGTTGAGCAGGTAGTGGAGCTGGTTGTCGATGGTCACGGAGTCGGGCAGGATGTCGTCGAGCGTCTCGAAGAACGCGTCCTGCCCCGAGCCGCCGATCTGCTGGTTCACCGTCGGCGCCAGCAGCTCCCAGTCGAAGAGCGTCGTCTCGACGTCGTCCAGGCAGACCTCGATGGACTTGAGGAGCTCGAGCGTCGCGCCGGACTTGCGCGGGAGCTGGCCGTCCTCGATCATCTCCCAGTACTCGCTCTTGACGATGCGGTAGAACGTCTCGCGCAGCAGCACGAGCTCCTCGGGGTTCGGCGCCGCGCCGAAGCTCGCCAACAACGCTTCCAGCTCCTCGCAGGAGTAGACGTGGTGCGCGTCGTGGTCCTCCTTGGGCGCCTCGAAGTCGCCGTGGCCTCCGCCGCCGAGCGCCGTCGGCGTCGCGTGCTCCGTGTCCTTCAGGTGCTTCAGCGACGAGATGTGGTCGAGCATCTCGACGGCGTCGTGGTCGAACTTGACGCAGGAGGACTTGTAGGCCGCCGTCGCGTGCGACGCGACGCGCTCCCGGACCTTGGCGACGAGCTGCTTCTTGAGCTCCGGCAGGCCGACCATGCCCCAGAGCTTGAGCAGCGGCCCCGCGGTCGTGCCGTTGATCGTCAGCGTCAGGAACGCGAGCCCGGCCACGTGGAACAGGATGCGCTTCCCGTCCTTGGCGTCGTCGGGGTCGCCGTTCTGCTGCAGCGTCGTCTTCACGTAGACCGCGAGCGCCAAGCCGACGGCGCCGCGGAGCCCGCCCCAGACCATGAAGCCCGCGGCCTTGGGGTCCGTGCCGTAGCCCATGTTCGCCAGGATCGGGTAGAGCGCCAGCACCATGAGCGCCCGCACGGCCATCATGACCACGTAGAGCACGAAGCAGTAGAAGAAGTCGCGCGGGCCGATAACGTCGGACATGACCGCGCGCCGCGTGAGCACCTGGGCAGCAAAAGGGTGATTCAAGTTCGCTTCAACGTGAGTGTTCCGCGCGCGCGCGTTCCGGAAAAAGCGCCCACGCGTCGAGACCGCTCCGAGAGATGATCGCTCGTCCAAAAATCAGC